CCGGATCCTGGAGCCTCGTGGATCCTGGTGGATCGTATTGGATCCTGATGGATCCTACTGGATCCTGGTGGATCCCACTGGATCCTGGTGGATCCTACTGGATCCTGATGTATTCTACTGGATTCTGATGTATTCTACTGGATCCTGATCGATCCTACTGGATCCTGATGGATCCTGATGGATCCTACTGGATCCTGATGGATCCTGATGGATCCTACTGGATCCTGATGGAGCCTGATGGATCCTAATTGATCCTAGTGGATCCTGACGGAACCTGATGAATTGTAGAATAAATTATTTCAAGCGTACAGAAACGAGGATGGAAAAGTTGATCTTAATGGATATGAGAATTCTTTAAGGTCCAAATAAATTAAGTGAGAAAAGGGAATAGTGACTTCAGAATTTGTAACTAACTAAGGAGAAAAAAAGATCCAGGATACCGAGATGATTATGTTTTAGTAAATTTTGGCACATCATCATGGATTCTGCGCATTTTTTGGATCCATCAAGATTTACGCTTCCTCGATCGGTTTGATATTATTGTAATACATGATGATTTCTGTTGCATTCTAGTTATCTCTGATAAATTGTAATGGATTGTGTTGAATTATAGCCAATGGCGGTAATCTGTGACCGCTTTTGGCACACTTCTAGAAATGTATTTTAAAATCTCTTAGGACTCTAGAATCCGCTTTTCTCCGTCAATCTAAGGATGTCAGAACTTAGAGCAACCCTCTACTTTAGTCTTAATCCTGTTTTTCCTTGAGAAAGTGTGAAAGAATATTTTGGGCTCCTGAATCTGAAGATTCATATCATATTTTATTCAGGAGTCCCTTTCCAATTTTAATAATACTGGTTTGCAGGATATTTCATTGTGAAAAATTTTTTCTTCTCAGGATCTTTTCAAGTTCCCACTCAGATTTCTTTATTATTTTAACATGATGGACCGTACTAGGATTCACTCTTGATCTTACTCAAAACCTTGATAGGGATTACAGAAAGAATATCGCTTAGATTCTATTATAGTTTTAACAGAATTCGTTTGGGATCTCTGCGTCATGGTCCTCTCCTGGCTTACAGTTAAATAAGGCAAAGATCCTACAAGGAATTAATAGAAGAGCAATGAAATCCTCAGGTAGTGGATTCTGCTAAGATTAAATCACGATTCTATCTAATTTTCTTAAGCATTCTTCTTACGAACATCTTTTCTGAACATTTCCAGGGTTGTCTTAGGGTCTCTTCAAGGACAAGCATTTCGGATCCTTCCTAGAGAAGGTCAAGGATGGCCAGGATCTTTCTGAAAGCATATCAAGGTTAGACGAAGATCTTTACCATTTTCATTTAGAGTCTACTAAAGCTTGATCTTGAGGATTGAAACAAGATCTATGACTGATCTGGTTCAGGATTTTGAATAAAATTATGAAATGTTTTCACCAAAATCCTTAACAGTTCCTATTTAAGATTCTTCGAATATTTTTAAATCTTTGGATCTCAAAAACTTAAATTGTGCTTGTTAAATAAAATTTTAACAGTAACTATACTAAAATGACAATGAAGAATTTGCAATGTGTTTTGTTTCGGTTCTGACAGGAATGTAGAAGATCAAGAAGGTACCTGAATTTCATTCTAATATTCCTTTGTATCTATGTGTAAGTGAATGAAAGAATTCAGACAGAATTTTTGAAGATTTCTCGTCAAAGATTTTTAGGATTTATCTTCAATATTGCATGACATTTACAGCATGGAACTTAGTTATTTTTTTAATTTTATTTTCATATAAAACTTGCAAACTCATTAAAATAAAGATTTTAATATCAGTTTAACTGTTGCAGTAACTTTTTCTTAAAAAAAGCTTTTAGTAAAGGACGAGTACTTCAATAAAACTTGTACTGGATTTTATTTATTCGTGTTAATCAGAAAAATACCTTTTTATTCAAATTAAAATCAACCAGTCATAGTAGAATTTTATGAGAAGTAGTCAATAGATTAAGTTTATATTGAATTTTTGTTCAAATAACTTATGTTTGCATAAAGTTCAAATACAAGTTAATAGTTCAGAGGGAATTCGAGATACAGAAGGTTTGAGTTAAATTACATAGCATGGTACAGTCTACTGCGGTGAACTAATCAGTTTTTTAACTAAACATACAGAAATCAATTATGTGCGTTCATTTCTCTTTTCTGCTTAGAGAATCCGGCAAAAATCTTGACAATACATCGGATATCATCCGATCAGAATCGAAGTGGAGTCCTGCGAGGTGCAATCAGAAAATATTTTCCAACTAGAAACCATTGAAATTCTGAGAAGAGCTTGACATAAAGTCAAAACAAAATAACTCAGAATTTCTCTAAGATTTTGTTCTAATCATAACAGAATCGTGTTTATTTCGTGCCTACGCGTTTTCCTGAGGATTTGACCCTCTATTAACATATTTCTTGTTTTAATTGCATTTTTAAACTGCTCAGGATACTGATAGAATCCTGTTATGAACCTTGTCGAGGTCTTGAAATTCCGTGGCTGCACGGCTTTCTCAAGATTTAGCAGCTTCTTGGACGATGTATGATTGGGAAATAGCAATAAACTGTTACGATCTTGATTGAATCTCAATTAAAATTCTGTCGGCATCTTAAAATATTATGGGTACACACTTTTTTCCGTTTTTCGCATTTTCTCCGGAAAAAAATGGTGAATATGTGCAGCGCCGTTGCTGCCTATGTCAGAAATCTAGCTCAAAAAAACTTGAGCTTTTCTCTAGCAAAAATTCAACGCTATTTAGTACAATCTTTTGAAATCCAGAAGAATTCAGCAGAAATTAACAAGCATCATAATAAACTGAAACCAATCAGGAACACCTAAATCTTGATGGATCTTATTCTATCGCTTAAACTGCAGAACTCATTCAGATACTCAAAAGTTCATCGAGGCCCACCAGGCTCTCAATCTCCGAGATTTCTTTTTTCTTTGTTTTCAAAAATTCTAGGGCCAATTCTTCGTCTATTTACTTTGTTTCCATGTATTCTAATGGCTTCTGGTAAAGTCCAATAGATCGTGAGATGTCTCAAGGTCCGTTTTTCCTTTGTAAAGTAGACTAGTCATAGTTGTATAAATAGCACATGGTGCTCCCATTGATTCATCCAGAACATATTTTGAATTATGCATCCTTATTTTATGAATCTGGTTGATTTCGTTGCTTTTTTGGCTATTCAGAACATTAAACTATCTTCATAAATGAAAATGAGTTCTAATGGATTCTGGTGGACCCTAGTGGATCCTGATGGATCCTATGGATACTGATGGATCCCAGGATCCACCAGGATCCGCTTTTTCCCCCTTGGTCTAAAATATAAAGAAGAAAGTTTGTTTGTTTGTTTGTTCTTTATGCATTCAGTCCCTGTGAGAGATAGAGAAGCCAAACTTTGCAGGGCACATCCTTGCATTCAGGGGAAGGTTAAGACGGGGTCGGCAGGACCGAGATGGGACTGGGAGATTCGCCCCCACAATTTTTTGAAAAATTTCCGGAAATTTTCTAATTTTTCAAAAGTTTTGGAGAATTTAATCCGATTTTTGCAGTACCCTTCCCTAGCTTTTAAGTCTGCGCGCTGCTTCTGGATCAAGGACCACTACTCGACCCAACATTTTTTACCACCGAGGTACTTAGTAACCCCATTGTTGGAGCGGTACAGTAAGTGCCTCATCCAAAAAGTCCGAACGTGCGACTGTTTTCTCAATAACTTGAGAACGAAAGGAAATAGCAACCTGAGATTTTCGTCATTAAAATGAAGAGATTCTAGGATACAAAAATATGCTCGAATTTGATTGGTCTATTTGCTGATTAATCGGATTTGAGTATACTTTCATAGTCGGTAATATTCTTTTCCTCAAATTTTCAATCAAGTTTTGAAAAAGTGTTCCAAAAAGATGGCACACTTTTACAAAGAAGCTTTTTAACTTCAAACTAACGTAGAAAAAATTCAAATAGAGATGAGCAAAGTGGTCGCGGTCCCGCTTCCGACAGGAAAATTTTGGTTCTGGGACCGGGCCGAAGTTTCTTTTTGACTGGGGCCGGGACGGGACCGAGTCTCGGTCACCAAGATCGAAGTTTTTTTTGAGCAGGATCAGGACGGAACCGAAACCAAAATATTTTTTTGATCGAAATTGGGACCGAGACCAAAATTTTTTTTTAAAAGAACCGCAACCAACACTTTTTATTAGAAATGATAATTTTTGCGGTCGTGTAAGACTTCTGTTGAGTGTCATATTGCCACAACTCATGTGTTATAAAGATGCTTCTAAAACACTGCAAAAAACATTGAATAGAGATAGTCAAAATGGTTTTGCGACCTGGATCGGGTCAAAATATTTCTTTTGACCAGAACCGGGATGGGACCGAAAAGGTTGGTCCCGCTTAAATCTCGATTCAAAGTGTTCATCAAAGGAAGTTACCAGCGTGATAATATTAAAGGGCCAAAATAAAAGTTGGAAATGGAAAGAGATCCGAGCGCATTTTGCAACATCCAAGATCGGTAGCTTATAGAAAACTATAAGATCATTGTTTTCCAATATGTCAAGCATGCAATATTGAATTTTCCCGGGTAACGCCGGGTACTTCAGCTAGTCTATATATATACTTCTTTTAAATGAATGTAAATGTTGGTTGTTTGTGAAAGAGCGAATGATTAAGAAACGAAGTAATCAACCTTAGACAAGATCTTGATATCATTTGATTATTTCAAAAGGAGATGATTTTATTGTCATTGGTAGCTTATACATGAAACAAAATCTAGTAATACCCAATGTTTAGAAGAACAACAACAAAATTTTTGTTTTAATATATTCTATTATATATCTGTATATTTTTTTTATTAATGAAATAATAAATGCTTTATTTAAAAGGAACAAACAATATTAGGAATAATTTTAATGAATTAATTATTCAAGAAAAAAAAAGAACAATGATAATTATTTTCAATATACAGCTATGACATATTAGAAACAACCATCATATCCAAAGACGAAATCTTGATGTTTGAATATCACTATGACTGTTTGGAAAACGATTTTGAACCATTAAACGATATAGTTCAACTTTTTTGTATGAAGTTTTACCATAAATATTTAAGTAGACCAACCCTTTTAATTGTTCAACTAACTCACAAAGATCTTCTTCCAAAGCACGTACATGTTGAACTAAACAAGACAAAATCATTCTCTTCCTTTAACAAATCAATTGTTATCTACGTACGAATTGATTCAGATGTTCGTAAAGTTTTTTGCCATCGTGGAATTAAAATCCCATATCTTCTTGAGGGAATATCTGGTCGAACTTAAAAGCAAAAATCAAAAATAATGAAAAAAATATTTCTTTTTATCAATACATATTTTATTTTATTTTTCCTCCCTGAAAATTACTCATAAAAGTCACAAAATAGAATAATTATGCGTCATTTATTTGTTACTATATATCAAAAGAGTAAAGATGTAACTACGCAAGAATAAGACACCTGACTATCTTATTAACATTAATTACCACACACTTCAACACACATTTTTCTCAATACTTGTAAGTTCGACAGATTGAATATTGGTACATATCTCTACTCATTACTTACTTGATGTCCATGGAAAATCATCCAACCTCCAAAGACATAATGTTTTTAAATGAGGCATAAAAGTACCAAGAATCGATACAAGATGTTTACCAACATGAACGGATTCATTATAACCAAAATTACAACTTGTAATACCAAACTCAGCATATTGAACAGCACTTAATGCATCCTTTCGCAAATCATCAAATGCCTAAAGATAATATGAGAAAATTATTTCATTCAATCATATAAAATTATTGAAATTTATTGTTTTTATCATCATCTAATTAGCAAATAACAGTTTACTAAAATGATTACAACTTAATTTTCAACATATATAGAGATGAGTATCATAATAAATAAAAGTTTATCACAATTCTCTTAAAATCAATCTATATTACTAATGTTCATTGTCTGTCTGTCTGTCAGTGTATCTGTGACGACTCAAAGGTTAAAGGTCAAATAAGGCTATGCAGGGAAGTTCCCATGAGCTATCCTCTGGGGGTACTCATAGGCACTGAAGGGAATAAGGCAATAAGGGAACATGGCTATAAGGCTAAGATCGTAAGGCTACGTGAACTATAAAAATATGTGCAATATAAAAGTATGAGGGGCGTAGGACTATCTATCTATATACATAATATTGAGTGTCTATATTTCTACTACCGAATGAGAAGTTAAACATATGAGGTCATACGTTAAAGGACAAAAACAGCCGTGTAGTATGCACGGGCTCTCGCTAGTACTTACATATTCAATAATATATAATAACCATTCAAATTTTGAGACAGAAAGATATTTAAGTTGAGTACACATTGAAATAATATGAGCATATATTTTGGCAAGTGTTTTATATTCATCTCTAAAGCCTTCAAGAGGTGCTAAATAAACAAAAAAAAATTTGAATAGATTTTATTTATGAGAAAGCGAATTTAACTTCATTTTAAATTGTAAATAAAAATTTTAAAAATAAGGTTTTTATAATAAAACAAAACAAAAAAAAAACATTTTGTTTTCATTTATATTTCAAGATTCGTCTTACAGAAAATAAAATAAAATTATCTTTGATCATTAATATAAATTGTAAATGTTCTGCGGTGAAAAAATTTAATGTATAGATGAGATTCTACTAATATAAGGAAAGAACAGAAATTTATTTATTTTCCTAAATTATTTAAATATGACTCATCTATTCATATGAACTAGATGAAGGCTTTGAATTTTCCGAGAAAGATATTTGACTGTATAGTGAATTTAAACGATATAAAACTATTAAATATATAGAATTGAGTTGATATGAAGTTCATAAAACAAAATATTTCAGTATATTTTTTGTCAATTTTGCAAACAAGAAAATGTATACATACAAAGATTACGATTATACGTATCTCCAAGTCGAAGTTTTGTAACATTTCGAAATTGAATATTATTTAAATTTAGTTGTTGGGTTTGGAATAATGTTGACAATAACATTAATGTTTCGAAATATTGAGGAGAGCATCCTATGAAATCAAAAAAACTTCATTAATTTGTTTATATAAATATTATTCAACCTGATTTTTATCATACTTTATTTAAGACAAACTAATAGCTAAAAAAAGAAAACACCTCTTGAACGCATATACCTTTTAGATATATCATAAACAAATTTCTGGTATCAACTCATTTTCATTATAAATCATATAATAACATACTTTCCAAGAGTCCAACATGTAGTATCGATCAATATATTACAACTCGAGTCGAATTCTGACCTTCACCATAGACGTGCATATCAATTAGATGATTGTAAACAGTCAATAGAGATCAAAAGAATGAATTCAATAATAATCTGTTAGATTATACACTTAATAACAGTTATGACGAAGAACAGTACAATATCATGTCTTTGTTCCTCAGTTTAAACCTTAGAAATTCGCTTATCAGCTTTAAAATCGATTATTAATATGTCTATGCAGAAAAACAATCGCCTTAATGTAAGAAAATCAACTGGAACTACAATAAATACATAATGAATTGTGAAGAAATCTAAATTTTCATCTTTAGATTTCAGCTTTCTTATTCATTCGTGTTTTCCAAACATTTGAAAATATTTACCCGAAACCAATGTGATACAGGAAGCATTAGGACATAATTTATTGAATTGGTCAAAAAATAAATCAATTGATGGACGCAAATAAATTTTAACATGAGCAGGTAACCGTTCTACGAGAATCGGATAATCCCTGAATAAAACAAGAATATAATTAGATTAAAAAAAATTTATACAGGGTTGGAAAAAATATTTGATAGGGAAATACTACTATATTTTGAAATAGAATTAATAATGAATTTTATACCAAATGAAAGCCCGTCAAAAATGGAGTTTATTGGTACTAAACAATAAAGGTTATGGAAACTTTTTAATATCGAACTTACGAAACTTTCAGAAATTTTATACATTTTTTGCCGTGAAAAAATAAGATGCCAGTAATTCAAAAATGGGATAAATTGTTTTTCTTGGATATCTTTATATGGTTCGATAGAGCTCGTCGAGCTCTACAAAACTATATATATGAAAAATTTTCTAAGTTATTTTTTGGTGATAAAAAATTTTAAAAACCATTTGGAAAATCCTAAACAACGGTTAAAAAAGTCATATTTTTGATATGGAAGAAAAATACTCGAATTTTTCGATAAAATTAGCTTTTTTTGATTATTGTTACTTCCTTTGGCGTTTCAAAATATACTCATTCGATGCACCGTGAAAGGCTGCATCGAACGAGTAAATTTTCAAACACTTTATATAAGGATACTAATAGAAAAAGCTGAATTTAGTGTAAAAAACATCACACTTTTTTCCCTATAAAAATTGTAAAACCTGCAGTTTTCTTGGCATATTCTTTAAATAATTTTCAGTGAATTTTAACTCAACAAGTCTGTTTAAAAAATTTTCATACATACAATTTTATAGAGCTCGACGAGCTCTATCGAACCATGTAAAGATATCCAAGAAAAACAATTTATACCATTTTTGAATTACTGGCATCTTATTTTTTCACGGCAAAAAAAGTATAAAATTTCTGAAAGTTCGATATTAAAAAGTTTCTATAACCTTTATTGTTTAGTACCAATAAACTCCATTTTTGACGGGCTTTCATTTGGTATAAAATTCATTATTAATTCTATTTCAAAATATAGTAGTATCTCCCTATCAAAATCTTTTTTCCAACCCTGTACACCAAATATCTTACATAAAAGCATCAAAAAATTGTAATTTTCTCATAGTAGAAGAAAAAATATGTTGATATGATCCTTTCTTCTGATAAAAACATTCAACATTTGTCCATTGATGATCAATAAAGAAAGGATGAATTCGAAAAGAATTTTTTATTTTTTCAATATCACTTATTAATAATTGGTACCGTATACAAATATAAAATTGTAAATCTTGAAGATTAATAATTTGATCAGGTAAACAATATTGACGAATAAAATTTGCATCAATAATAGACTTCCATATTGTTTGGTCTTCTCTCCAAACACTATCATTATATAAATGAATATCAAGTTTTGTAACATGATTAATATTATTAAGAAGCCATTTTAAATAAGTAAACTCGAGATCATTATAAACACAACTTTTCAATGAAAAACATTTCAATTTTGATACCTATTTTACAAATAATTAATTACAATTTTCTTTGATAATTAATAATAGAATAGTTCAGCTATGAATGGACACAAACAAAGTAACGAACTGATCTAGTTTATTATTAACATGTGACAAAATATTCATTTTGAAGTGAAATTAATGAAAAATAATTTTTAGTCCTAGAGTTCTATATTAAAGTGATAATGTTCTCAACTGACAAATTGCCTTTGGGTTAGGGATTCACTAGTGGTAGTGCTATACTTCGACTGAAGTAGGTTAACTAACACTGACATGCAAGACGAGATTATATTAAAAAATTTTTTCACATGACAAATGATGAAAATCTAAATATAATATTTATTTTACTTTATTAAACCAATTTCCATTTGAAAGTATTAAACTTTGAAGTTCAGAATCAGCGGAATTCCGATAACGTTGTAAACGTTTAAGATCAACTGATAATTGTTCAACATTAGGTATACGTTCAATAATATCTTCCAAAAAATTTGCATCATTTAAATGAATATGCAAATGACGTAAAGTTGTACAATAAGATTGTAATCGATTTGAAACTGTTTTTGATGGAAGAGAAGGATACGATTTTAAACATTGATCAACACTATAAATTATTTCTTTAATATTAAGTTTCAAAGATGTTAATTGACATTGATCAGAAAATAGTTGACATAAAAGTTGTTGAAACATTCTTTTTGTATCTTCTGTTTCATTATTAAAAAGAATAAAATTAACACTTAATTTTCATATTTTTTTCGAAAAATTACTAAAATATTTCCTTCAATGAATTCTTATTTACCTTCAATGGAAATATTAGATAGCAAAT